GCAGGCGGACCAGAAGCACCCGACACGTTCAGGGATGATCCCCGGCTCGTGGCAGCACCATATGAAGCTGCAGCTCTTCCTCAAAGCCTCTAAGGCCTACTACGTCCTGTCTGACGCAGCCACTAACTTGCTGAAGTATGGCCGAGCCTTGCGCTACATCAAGCTTTCTCTGCAATGCCACGGTAATTCATTTAACTCACCAGACACAAAGAGAAATTTTGTTATGATAGTTACTTTTCAGCATTTTCCAGATTTTTTAAATTTATTTTTATTACATTTTTCTTTTCTTTGTTGCACATTTCTGTCAGCCTAAATAGTGTTTTATTTATTCACAAATCAAACAAGAATTGAATAACAAAATAGAACAAGTTCCTGTTTTATTTTTAAAGCAGATCAAGTCCTTTCATCAGATTCTGCCTGAAACTGCAAAACGTCCAAAACTTAAACATCCACCTTTGGCTTAAATATGTAATAATTAATGATGCATACTCTAAAAATACAAAATTATATTGCTACTACTAAATTTACTCTTAATCTTAATACCCATTCAAAAAAGTTACATCAGTACTTTGTGAAACGATATAATAACTAAACATTTATTTCTCTTTCCCCTTCCCCCTCCTCTTCTACTGTTTCCTCTAGATGCCTATTGCTCAGTGAGCGGTACACTGCACCCACAGGTGTTGCACTTTCACAGCCAGTGCCTGTCTCTCTGTGGGGACATCCAGCTGATGTTGGCGCAGAATGCCAACAACAGAGCAGCTTACCTGGAGGAATACAGCTACCAGACCAAAGAGGACCAGGAGATCCTGCACAGCCTGCACAGAGAGAGCAGCTGCCAGGGTCAGTCACTCACACACACACACACACACACACACACACACACACACACACACACACACACACACAGTATTCAGTTATTGATCATTCCAATTCCAATCCTTTTATTCTCTATCCACCAGCCTTCAACATGGCAACAGACCTGGCCATGGACCCGGAGTACCAGCTGTTTGTTAGCAGTAAGTGCTACGAGGCAGCGTTCGAGCTGCTTGACTCCGAGGCTTTGAAAGATCACGCCTCAGATCAGCTGGCTCAAGTGCTCAAACGACTGGGAAACATCCGCAATGAGATGGGAGTGTACTATATGAACCAGGCTGCAGCCATGCAGACTGAGAAAGAAGGTGTGTTGGGTAACAGCTGCAACTCTTAACAACTGTGCTGACCAGTTTAATTTTACTGAATACTAAGGACCTGGCCAGTGACATAAAGCAATCACTGCACTTGAATCAGTAGAAAATATAGACTAAAAAGAGACATTAAAAACTGATCACTCCATTGATTTTTATATTGTTGTTTTTCCCTGTGCCTCTGTCCATGTCGTTGTGTCTAACTGGGCTTTTCCCCCTCCAGCAAAAAAGTCTGTGTCTGTCGCAGAGCAGGAGATGTGGAAAAAAAGTTTTGCCTTCTTTGAGAAAGGCATGAAGGACTTTGAAGCCATCGCGGACAGCACCAACACAGCCCTGCTGCTGTGTAACACTGGCAGGCTGATGAGAATTTGCGCTCAGGCCCACTGTGCCATCTCAGCCGATCAGAGCAGAGGGGAGTTCTCACCTGAAGAGGCCCTCTACTACAACAAGGTGCCATGTCGAACCCCTTAAATTCACACTGTTCTCTTTTTTATTTTTCTCTATATTTCTACATCTCGACCCTTCCATCCTCATCATGTTCTTAATTACTTCATTATCTTAATTTAATTTCAACCCAGGCCATAGACTACTACCTGCGGGCTATGAAGTCACTGGCAAGCCGTGAGAACCACCCAGCAGTGTGGGACAGTGTAAACTGGGAGCTGTCCACTACCTATTTCACCCTGGCTACACTCCTGCAGGACTACGCCCCACTGTCCAGGAAGGCCCAGGAGCAGGTGCCTCTGAGCTCTTTTGTCCCACATGACAGTGATCAAATATTCTACATAAAGTGAAACTCCACTCTTTAACACATTTTGGCAATCTTGCATTTTTTCCCCACCAAATGGCATATTTCCAAGAGCTGTGGCAACATTTATATCCTCAAAAAGTCCATGTTTCACAAATTGACAAGATGACTGATGATCAAACTTTAAATCCTCAGATTGAGAGGGAAGTGACTGAGGCGATGATGAAATCCCTGAAGTACTGTGACCTCCAGACGGAGTCGGCTCGTCAGCCGCTCTACCAGTACAGAGCTGCCACCATCCACCACCGCCTGGCCTCTATGTACCACAGCTGCTTCCGCAACCAGGTGGGGAAGTCATGTCAACTTCTACAATAATATAAAATCTTTTTGTTATTCATGCTGATAATTCAGGTGTCTTAGCTCACCCTTTTGACATAGACTTGTTTTTGTTTATGCTAAAAGAAAAATGTATTATTTGTTATGTTTTTTTTTTTTTAAGGAAAAGGAAGTACAGACTGACTGGTATAAAACCACTAGTGATGTGATGTTTGTTTTTCATACTTATCACAGTATAATACACACTGAAGGATGTCTGTGCTTCTGGCTCTAATTGTGTGACAGGTGGGGGATGAACACTTGAGGAAGCAGCATCGGAGCCTGGCAGAGCTACACTACAGCAAGGCTGTTTGTTTATTCCTCAGCCTCAAAGATGCGCCCTGCGAGCTTCTCCGCACGCTTCTGGAGAGGGTGGCCTTCGCTGAGTTTACTATGGCAGGTGAGAAACTAGTCTTTTTTTTTTTTCCTTTTTATTAACAAAACAAACAAACACTAAAAGTCACACTAAGGAGAGCCTTATATCAACACAAACACACAAGGTACAATATATCAGCCCAACAACCTAAGTAACAAGATTATATTCCATATATACAAATTATTGTTATTACAAGGGTAATTACAGAAAGCAAATATATTAAATTCATGTGTCTTACACATAATCCTCTTTCAGATAAATATAGACTTTTTACAAACTTTCAGCTTCAATAAACCTCTCTCACCTTTCCAAAACTTTTTAACATTATTATTATTATTATTATTATTATATTATTAATATTATTTAATTATTATTATATAATATTATTTATATTATAATTATTTCATCTTCTGAGGTGGATTCCTTCATCATTATTCAAGGAATCCACCTCAGCAGCTTTAAAAATAAATCTTTTTCCTGACATAATAGATTTGTCTCTGTAGTGTCACCCAATACCACAGAAGAAGAAAATGGCTGAAATGTGGCTTTGACCCTCCCTCCTGAAGGCAGTCAGCAATGTTGGGTGTGGTTGTAAGAGGAGGACTCACTTGGAGAACAAAATAGCATTTTGTCCACAGCCTTTTGCAGTAATGTTTCATACTGTGTTTCCACAGGTCAGAGCAGCAGCGCGGCTAAGCTGAAGAGCCTGACCGGCGCTCTAGAGATCATGACAGAAACTCGCCACGCTTTCCAGCTGATTCACAAAGAGCTGCAGGAGGATCAGATAGAGGTAAGTTTCAGAGCAGCCGATGGGAAATACTCTCTCGTGCTCATTCATCTTCACAGAGCTTTGTTCCTGATCACACACCGTCACCTACGACATCTTTTCCTTTCACTTCTCGTGCTGTAGTTGAGCGAACCAGACCCTGCTGGATCAGCAGAGTCTCCTGATGTGGCCAGTGGTCCCACTTCAGGACTGAACCTCCAGGAAGTGATGAAGTTAATTGGCGTGTTCGAGCCAAGTTTCTCTTTCCTGCTGCTGCAGCTCGTCAAACTGATGACGACAATGAAACGAAAATCAAGGTGAGCAGGAATCTAAACCCTTCATTGTACTGTATATCTAGCTGTGTATGTTTCTTTTATCCTTTAACCTTTTCACAACACTCACTCCTGACATTTGTGTTTATTGCAGCAATAAGGACGAGGAGCTGCTGAAAACCTATAAGAATGTGTACTCCAAGCTGCTGCGAGCTGAGAAGAACGCACCTCTCCTCAGCCGTGTCAGGCTCTACATAGAGCTCCTGCAGCAGCTGACCCCGCAAACAGGAAGTGACGACACGGGTACTCATTCATGATAATGACATAAACCACAACAAGACTTTGACTCCGCTCTCTGCACCTCGCCGGACATCCAAGCTGCATTCTGGGGAAGACTTGACAACTGTTTTCTCAGAGATGCTGTGACAGAAAACAATGACTTACAGACATCATTATTAACAGGCACATCCTCAGGCGACACTGTCCCACTTTGAATTACAATTTCAAAGCTACTTTCACCTCCTGCGCCTTTTAAGACAAATTCATCTTTTTCTAACATTTGCATCACAGGTTTTGAATTGTACATTTTTGTTGTAAATTCAAAAGATATTATTTAATTTTCTTACTGCTTCAGCAGTTATGGGTCATACATAAAGCTCCTTTGTGTAGGATTTGTTGTTGAGTGTACCAGACATCACCTGGATTGTCTAATTTTTCTACAAACAAAAACCACATGCCATAAGAAAAATTTCACGGATGGTATAATCACATAGAACTTCTACACACTGGGGCTTGAAAAGCGATGAATCATTTAGCACAAGCTCAGAAAAATTAAGATTCATTTTAATATAATTGGTATTTGTGATATTCAGTAATACCAATAATGCTGTGAATACAACGGATTGAAGTGTGATTGAAGACTGACAAGTTGAAATAAGCTCAAATGCGTTCCTTGCTTTCAAAACAACATTGTGCAATAGTTTGGCAACATTCAATGCAAACTCAGAGGCTAGTTTGTCCACATTGCTGTATGTATAAATGTGAGTTTATATCGGCATGGTTTGCTGTGAATATGGAAATAAAAGCTTTTTACATTTTATGCGCTGTATTTTATGATATTGTATATTTCTCCTGGAGCATCTCAGGCTAATAGGACACATCAGATTAACCTTTAGTAGAGGTATTTTATTGAAACCTTTGGATAACAAATATAAAAGTATGATTTATCATACTCAGTTTATTTATCCAGAACATTTAAATGATGAACTGTGCACAGCTGCTTTGCCTTCAAAAGCACAATTCAGAGTGAAAGATTTTTAGTGGCACCGTACCCTCTGGCACCAACTCGTTCAGCCCGAGTCACTGAAGAGGCGACATGATGTTTTTAATGCAGTGTCAGTGAACTGGGTCACCCCGCTGTTACTGAGCTGTATCCACACCAGATGGAGCTGCAGGGGGGACCCAAACTGTCCCTGCACCTCATTAATCAGGCTGGACCCTCGGTGCTGTGGGTGACTGACTGTTGGACAGTGACTGAAGGTAAGAGGTGAGAGTGAGGAGCTTGAAGCAGAGCCGCAGAATCATTACATTGTAAATCTCACTGTAGTACAAAAATTATTCTTTGCAATTTAGTAACCAGATTGTTCTATTGAATAGGAGGATTAAGTAAAAATATAAATAATCAGACACTGAAAATCAACATAGGAACTTTGTATAACTATCAAAGATAAATACAGAACATGGGTGTTATGACAGAAATGATAGATTAAGGGCACAGATGAAAAAAAAACAACTACCCAACAACAACTACCCGAACAATGTGATTCTGTACAGTATAGTGCAATAAGTGCTTACTGGTTACTGGTAATACTGGTTATTTCACCACCACGACTGGGAACAGTGACTCAGTCAGTCACTGTATGACACAACGGTCATTGGTCTGGTCCTCTTGGGGTTCCTGTTGGGAGGTTGGAGGTGTCGAAGCTCCATGGTTCAAAATGTTTTGGAGGATGTCTTTGCTCTCGCTTGGCGGTAGATTGTAGAAGAAATACTGTGGTGCCATCTGAATGAACCTAATCGTGGAGAAGACAAAAAAAAAATCAATCAGATTGCTTGTGTGTCAGACTCATTCTAGAAACAAACTCATTTTTGGTTGAATGTAATTGATGCACATTGTATTTCAATTTGCAAACTTCAAAACTTCAAAGTTATCAGTTCAAGTTAGTTTTGAATGGCACCCACTTAAGTGGGAGAGGAGCCTTACAGTACATCTAGTCCTCACATAATTTGAGCTGCAATGAACTGATTCACGCATTTCAGGATGTGGAGGCTAAGAGAGCATGACAAAGGCTGCAAAGGGTTTTCTCCTCCTTCATTAAGCTGCAGCTCCACATTCCCAGGCATCTGTGCAATCCATAATCCCCTCTGCAACCAGCAAATACTAGAGAACAGGATTATACCTCCCCTCCGAAACCAGTACGAATAGTCTATGCTGAACTGGGGCTTTACATCTGGTCCAAAAGGGAAAGGGAATGTGCTTGATTACTTTTAAGCCTCTTCAAACATGAAGATATGAGGGTGATCTGCCTGGTTCTTTTAAAACAACAAGACAAGGCAGTCTAGTTTACAAGACTTATTGACAGATTCAGTTATGTGAATGCAAAACAAGCACACAAATTGAAATGAACAAAATGTTAACAAGGCTGAGTCTTACTCCTCCGGTGTTATGTGGGTGACGGTGCGGAGACAGTTGTCCTCGGAGAAGGAGTGCTCATGGAACAGCACCCACTCCGGCAGGCCCAGCTTGGGGCTCTTGGCTCCGTAGCCAGACAGAGGATGGATCTGTGCCACATGCTTATGGGTCATAATGAAGTAGTTCCCTGACCCATCCACATCCCGCGCCACCTGAGCAAAAACACAGCCAGACACAGTCAGATGGATTTCTCCAAAGGAAAAGCAGTCACCACCTAAAAATACTTTTTAAAAAATAAGTATAAGCAGACAGAAGCATCCAAATACAAGATGCTCCTATCTGTAAAGTCATACTTTTGATTTTGCCTCGGAAAGTACATAATTAAAAAAAAAAGCCAAAACATAAACATAAAAAATTCTCAGAAGGAAATTTGACAGTCGAAATAGAAATACTGAAATAACAGTTAAATTGAAGTGCTGAAAGAAGCTGAAGTGTCGATTTAAGTGTAGGGGAGTTTAAGTATCTGCCTAAGTCAAAGTGCAGTAAAGAATAAAAGGTTCAGTCAAAGTTCAATCAGCTGAAATGTAAGTCGAAGTGTAGGTGATAAATTAGAGGTTTGAGGTTAAATGGCCCTGAAAGAAATTAGTAGCAGTTCATGTGTATTACCTAAAAGCAGATGTTAGTTGAAGTGTCAGCTGAGGTGTAAGAACTGAAAGCAGTTGGAGAAAACTGTGTATTAACCGTGAAAGTTGCGGAAGTCAGAGGATCATTTTTGGTGTTACGTGAAGCAATGAGACCTGAAAGCATATGAAGCGTCAGTAGTTGTGTAAACATCAAAAGGAGCTGAATAGAAAGAGGTGAATGCAGTTGAAGTCTCAGTTGTAGAACAAGAAACGAAAGCAGATGAAGTGTCTGCTGAGGAGTAAGAGATGAAAGCAGTTGAAGTGCGAGTTGACGTGTTACTGCTGAAAAGAGCTGACCTGTCGGTGGAAGAGTAAAGGATGAAAGCAGATGAAACCTCAGCTGGACAGTAAAAGAGCTGTGGACAGTTCAAGCGAGTATTGTAAGCAGTCGAAACGTCAGTTAGTTGCATGAGCACAGATGAAGTGTACGATCTGAAAGTAGTTGATTTGTCTGTTGAAGAATAAATTCGTGTATTGCATTGCTGCAGGCATCAAGGTGGTAGGGTTACACAATAATGGCTATGTGGTCATTCTGATTATTTAGCTAAGCATTTTTGTCAATCTTTGTTAATATTGATTATAAAAAAAACGAATTATTATTTCTGCATATTTTTTATCATCTACAGTACTCTAATATTTCAATCAGTCCACATTCTGTGATCATTAATTGTGGAACCTAAAATCACATGACTCTCTAGGAGGACTGTGTGTGTTTGATGTAAGCTGTCGACGTCGCTCTAATAAATCTATTGTGTTTTTGTTGAGTGGTGTTAACAAACTTATGTTAGCTAACCTGCATAAAGAAACCTGCCAGCAGGGCTCTCTTAATGTTGAAGGTGTTGCTTCGGGAACCGAAGGCGGGCACTGAGACGGGCAGCTCGATCCTCTTCAGAATGTCGGTGAGCTCAGAACGAAGCGCGTCAGCCATCAGCAGAGAAGTGTGGTTCAGGTAGAAATCCTTACACCACTTCTCCACATTACAGTCTAACGGGGGAAGAGAGGACAGAGCCATAGAGAGGATTATAGGAAGACAGAATCAATGATGAAGACGTAGATATTTCTGGAAAAAATAGATAGTTTTCTTGTAAATATACCCAGTAATATCATTGTTTTGTTTACAGCCAATGAGCTTGTTTTGCTACCATTTAAAATTCATTTTCTTTATTCACTGATCTCCATAGCATCTGTGTGTGTGTGTATATGCATATTTGTGTGTTTCCAAGTAGGTGATACTCTCTAAACTCACATGGATCCTGCTGGCACTGCTTAAAGGCCTTGTAGATATTGATAAGGGTGAAGTGGTCTCCCTCTGGGTGCTGGAACTTCATGTGGCACTGGGTGGCCTCTGGCTTCAGGTCCACAGAGGGAACCATGAAGCAAGTTGGTGCTGAAAAATCCACAAGATTTATGTGACGTGGATCATGTGATAAGATACAGCAGGAAACATGTATGTGCCAGCGCCTGTTACCTGTTAGCATGGCGGCGATGATGACCACCTCGCTGACACAGTCAAACTCACAGGAGGCGAGCACAGTCTTGGCCATTTGCGGCTCCAAGGTTAACTCGGACATGATGATGCCCATCTCAGACAGGTTGCCATCATTATCCAAAGCTGCCAGATAGTCCAGCTCTTCTAAAGCCTGCATCAGACCTCCAGGATCTGGGTTGGAAACATTTTTGAATTATACACCAAAATCAAAAATTTTTTAAACTAAAAAAACTAAATTAATCCTTGGTTAAAAAATTGGGTGAAAACTAGGAACCAAATCCATCAGAAAATCAACATGTCCTTTATTATTTTCTAGTATTTAAACTGAGAGAGTATTAATTACATACAAAAGAACTGTTCATGCTGTCTGAACTGTAATCCAAAGTGGTGACCCACTGGGACAATCCCCCTACAGTACACTGGCACCCTGGTGGGCAGATCACAGTGAAAAGACAGCAGCAGATTAGGATTTTATAATCCTCACCAATATCTGCCATGCATCACTATGCATATTGAAGTCTATCCGCGGTACACATGAGATTTTCTCGTCTGTCTTTGCAACAAATGTGTTTTTGATGAACATCATGGTGAAAAAAAAGAGACATTTTCAGACAGAGCCAGAGGAAAGAATCAAATCCACTTTAGATGCTTTCTATTATCATAGACCAGCACTAGTGTATCTACACTCTAATCAACTAATGGGAGGCTCAGTGTGTGTGTGTGTGTGATTGTGTTAGTGGGGGTGAATAAATCCGGAGGAACAAAAGCACACGGAAGCAGGTCAGCTCTGAAAGGAAGCTCGCAGAACAAGAGCTGTCAGTTCAGCTGCAGCACGGCTCACTGCCCTGCAATAAAAAAAGTTCCTGTTTGTTGGAACAAAAGGGATAGACTGAATGAACTGAACCCAAAATTCATATTATCACCACTGAGGACGTGAAGTTTAGGGAACATCAGGGGCCCAGCCAGCACAAAGTGCCACAACAATATTCTCTCTGTTTATTTAGTCACTTCACGTGAATCTCACCTGGCCTGTCGAGGAAGTGACAGTGGTGCAGCCCTGCGATCTCCATCCTCTTCAGGAAGAGCACAGTGGAAGTGATGTCTGACTCCACGATGTGTGGTCGTACCTCGGCGGGAAGCTGTCTGTCCTCTGGGTACAGACAGAAACACTTGCCTGCAGGAGAGAAAGATCCTTTTTTTTTAATTGTTTTTAGACAGGATGGCAGCCGGAGATTTACATGAAAAAAGTGTCGTCACAGTTTAACTTCTCACCTGTCGGACCTGTCGCCAGCTGTTTGCGACTCTCGGCCTGACCTTTGCTGATTGGCTGAATGATGACCGAGTTTGTTCTGATCCTGGGGTTGTAAACCTGCAACAGCATCACAGTGTGTTGACCCTGAATATATACACTAAACCACATTTCAGAGGCAAATATTGTATCCACTGCATTTATCTGACAGTCATAGTTACTTTGCAGGTAAAGATTTTACACATAAGCCAGATGAACATACTACCCAACAGTATATAATATGTATGGGACTTCCTGTTATTGCTTTTACTCTTCAGTAAAGTATCTGAATACTTCTTCCACCAGTGACGTTATATAAAGACATTTAACTAAACTTATACACAAATCTACTCTAACAGTGACATGAGCGAACACATTTTCAAAACCATGAAAATGTATGTATGCTGTATGGCATATAAAGTTCTTTACATTTCCACTTAGATCATTAAAACACTCAACACTTAAGCAGCAGCAGTATGATATATAAAAAGTTTAAGAAGTCTTTATGTAATTATTCTAAGTCTTATTTTAATTACAACTAACTTACATATCTTTTCTCAAGGCCGGCATCAATGACAAAGCTGATTGATCTAACAGCCCAGAAGAAGTCCTCGTTTGGGCTGGATGTGAGGAATACTCTGCGGGTCCGGCCCGTCTCCTCCTCCCCCGGGATTGGGAGATTCCCAGGCCGGCCAGGGTGCACAGCAACAGGCAGGAGCTCACCCAGGTCACGGGGTAAGCTGTGCACCTCATGACGCAGGATGTCATGGGCCAGATCTATCTCCTGGTGAAGAGTGAGCAAAGAAGAGAGTCAGAAGAAGACATATTCACAGACATATTCAGCCTGGTGGTTGCTGCTTTTTTACCTGTGTCGTCACCAGAAACACAACCACATCTCCTTCCTCTTCGGAGTGGTGAATCTCCAGCACCAGACGGAGAGCAGAGCAGAAGTAGCCTCCACCTGTGCTGCTGTACACCACCTCTCCTGCGACGGGGCTCTCCAGGTGAATCAGAGGCGCCGCTGACCCGGAGAAGTGGGCCAGCTGCTTGGGGCCGGGCTCGCCCGAGGTGAGGAGGACCACACGGAGCTCCGGCCTCTGCAGGGCGATGTCCTTCAGCAGACCCTGCAGTACGTCGGTGGCTACGGTCCTCTGGTGGGCCTGGTCCACGACTACCACGCTGTAGTTCTCAAGTAAAGGGTCTGACATCATCTCTCTCAGCAGCATGTCATCTGTACAGTACCTGGGGGTGGGTGATAAAACATTAGGAGGGAGCCTGCACGAGATGCTTGACACACACTGTATTCAAATTCATAAAAGCCTGAAATAAATCATCAGGTTTATTCAATTCTAAGCCTCTAGGCTGCAATAGTGGAACAGTATATTCAGGAAATCCTTCCAGCATACCTCAGAATGGCATCTTAATGAAAGCCACTTTGTCTACACTTCAGCTTTGCCCCCATTAGTGTAATTTACTCTGATAATTAGTCTGGGGAGTGGATCCTTTCCTACTTGCCGGCTGCCTGTTTATCTTGTCCCCCTCCCCTCAATGTGCTGAGTTTCTCTTTTTTCCCCCAGCTGACTTATGAGGGACCCGCATGAGGGAGTGTGACATATGGGCACACGGGGAGCCAGGCAGCTGTGGAGGAGCCCCTGAAAAGAGTCCCCTCAGGCCTTTTGTTCACTGCTCTCCTGAGAGTAAGAAAAGGCGGGGTGATTTAGCTGCGTGTGTCGTCACCATGCATTGTTGTAACCAGGCAAGAGGGCAGAAAGAATCAGTGGAGAGAGGAATCACTGGGTGTACTTGTATTTGAAAGTATGCTTTCACATACCTGAGGACTGTGTCGCCGGTGCAGCATGTGTCCAAAGGGATGCTGTACCCGACTTCATGGCCAATGTTGACGTCCATCTCATCGGCCACCCTTAAGGCGAGATCAACAGCCTGCTGGGTGTGAGTCTGGGTACAAACCACCATGCCGTGCTGGAACTGGACTGACAGGCAGAACTCGGCACACCACTGGGGAATCTGGTTCAAAATAAGAGTGGGAAAAGTTGATAGTGAGAGGGCTTGAATATTTATGTATGTTTGAATATATATACAAAGTTCAGTTTGCTGTCGCGTGAATAAAATGTGCAATCTAGAGTGTCAAATGTCCACAGTACTCACTTGAGAACTCCTCCCAGTTTTAGCAGAACCACTGACAACAACAAACTGCCCTTTGGCCAAAGTGTCCATGAATTCACATTTTGCTTTCCACACTGGCAGCTCTTTTCTTTCTTTCAGCAGTTTGTAAAACCTGGAGGAATAAGGCAGTCCATCAAACTGATTAAGCTCCAAAATGTCATCATAGTCTTTATCCCCGTGACTCGAAGCGTCTGTGTCTGGACAAAGGGGTGATTTCCCTTCAAAATACTCCTCTCCAGTTAAACTGCTAACGTCGTGCGCCATCACAAGTGAGCTCCCAGTCTGTCCGGATTAGACTTCATTTGCAGATCTACAGGAATGAAGTTTGGAAACCTCCAGCTCTCAGTAAACTGTTGGACAGCACACAGACCGCCTCTGCAAGTGAAGCCAAATGAAAGGCTCGCTAGGCGGCCAGCCCAGTGTTGTCATGTGGCCATTAATCCCATAGAAGTGCGGTCATCAACAGATGACACACACACACACACACACACACACACACACACACACACACACACACACACACACTGGTCTGAGAACAAAGATAGATGGGCAGGGACTCAGAGGGGTCTGGTGTTTACAAAGAGAACTGGCTCACACGCAAAGGACACAAGCTCTACATAGTGTAAAATGCATTTATTTATCAACTGTGGTTTAATTTAGTAATTTAGAAATTAATTATCTCAGTGGTCCACAAACAGGAACAATTAATGTCTACATCCAAAAACCAATGAAATCCAGAAAATGAAGACCTATAGAAGTCAGCACACGTCTGTTGTGCCTATAGTTTTGCAGTTGTAGAATAATATCGAAGAAAAACAAAGAAGAAATGTTCCTTAGTAACAGTATTAAAACAAAATTTGTAATGTGGGCTTGTGGGTATTTGAAACGTTGTTATTGTTATTCTTATCTTTGAGCGGCTTATAGCTTCTATACGTTTAAACCTGAAAACTTGACAAGAATTGGACCTCTGTGGTTTATAAATGGTAACTATATATTATAAATGGTATTACTGAATCATACTGTAACATAAAGTGAGCAGAGGAATGTGGAAGAGATGTCCCGTACGTAATTTTCTCATTTTGAGGCCCCCTGTTGACAGCAAGGCCTGGAGCAAGTACTTACAGTCATACTTCATAAAAGCTGTCAGATAATTGTAGTGGAGGAAAAAGAACATTATCTCCCTCTGCATTGTAGTGGAGTTGTAGTGCTTATAAAACATGATTTTTTTTTTTTATGAAATAAACTACCCAACAGCAAATTATCAGAGAATTAAGTGGCAACTATTTAGATTTTTCCTGCAAATAAGCATTTCAACATTTCAAGCTCCCAGGTTGTAATTCATTTTAAAATAATCTTTAGGTTTGGGAATACACATTGTGAAGGTGTCACTCTGGATAATTGTGAGGGCATTTCTCAGTTTTCTATATTTTTCCAACCAATTAATTGATTAATAAAGAAAATAGCAGATGAATCCATAATGAAAATAATGATTTGGAAATTTAGTTCCATCTCAACAAACTACAGTGGTAAAATGCTGATTAGACATTGATCTATATTGATACATAGTGTGATATTACCACTGTTACTACTGCTCCACCACTTTACATCCTGGGGGCAACTTAAAATAAATAAATACATGGACATTTTTCTTTTTGCCTAAACATAATTCATATGCTGAGATGCGTTTTCTTTACGGCTGTGTGTGTGAGTAGCAGTGTTTATTGGATTATAGACACTGATCTTCTTCAGTTCACTCAGCTTACAGGTCAGAGGTTTTTCCTGTTTTCACATTCCTTTCCAGTAATGATCTAATTTGGGGGAGCTGATCCTTAATCAGGACTCTGGCTTGAGAGGCACATGAAGGAAACATAGCAAGATCAAAACCGGAGGGAGGGATGTGCTTCAGTTTTTGTAATGACCACTGTTGCTTGACAGGTGGCAGTGTTGAACAACAAAGACAGGCTGCTCAGGCAAAAGGAGACCTGCATGTAATGAGTGAGGTAACAGACTAGTGGGACTCTTTCATACAGGAAGTCACTGAAGTGCTTTTCTTGACACTAAGAATCACTGTTTATGGACTGCTGCTTATTAGAAGAAAGGATGAGCAAAACAACTTAAGTTTTATTGTTGTTTTCTCATTTGTCTTCATGAGTGTTGTGTTGTTGCTCGTCACAGGAGTGTGATACATATTCATACCTTTCCAAACGATCAGACTCCTTGTTTGTCATGGTGACTTCTTAGTGGCTTTGTTATGAGGTGGGCTGACTGAGACTGAGCTTTAACAGCGACAATAAAATAAGTTATCATGGCATCCTTAAATGATTCATGTTCATCAAATGAAAACTTTTATCCTCATGAGTCCTTATCTAACAGGCCTAGTTTTAAAAAGGTTTCTCTAAAGCTCAGCAAAGTGAGAATGAAATCAAAACGTGTCGTAAACAGTCATAAAGGCAGTTTTATTTGGCTCTGATTTCATCAACCAAACCTCTCAGTTTAAATGTTATCCTGAAACATTTGTCTCTGGCCTACAAGTTATAGGTTAAAATGTTCAAAATCACCACCTAGTGTAAGTGGGGAACGGCCTCAGAGCAGTTCTTATATTACTGTGCTTGTAAAAAAACAACATAAAAAGAAGAGAAATGATTACTGACGTACAATATTTACACTTTACAATGGCTTTTAAACATGTTACAGTTATGCAAATAAACACAGTACATTTAGGATTTACAAATGGCATAAACATTTAACGACTAATTTAACACAGCACTAACAGATATTTCCCAACAGAGGGCAGTTGCCCTGACTGTTGAACATGTGTGAACATCTCCAGAAACAAAGAAAAAAGCATTACTTGCACACTTCTGTACACGAATGCAACAAAGGTATGCAGGGCTTCACTGACTTCAATCATTCAGCAGTGGTGAGAGGACGAGCACTGCGAGCGGATACACTGCAAATACAAAATGCATTATCCAAAGTGAACACTGACACAGGGAAAAGAACTGCACTGTGAAGATTTTAACAGCTGAATCCTTCCTCTTATACCAGCAAGTCAACGACAAATAACATCAAGGAAAGTGCCAAACTCAAAGTGCAACGGCATGCTCTGAATCGAATGAACGATGCATGAATAATCAGAGTTCAAGAATAATTCAGCCATATAAAATCAAAATGTAATGGGATAAAGGCAAAGAAGAAAAAAAAAAAAAGACAGGACAGATATGGTAAAAAAATCATGTTGATACGGTGGAGGAGGAGCTTGGGAAGCTCACAGCGCTGAAGTCATCTGACTTGGCTCGCACACTCAAGGACAAAGTGAGCGTAAATGTTAAACATACAAACACCGTAGTTAATGTTGAATTATTTGGTGTTGGTGTAATTCTCTGGAACACAATCAGCCTGTCGAATCTGTTGAGGCTCTGCAGCGTCTGCCAGTATCAGGAGAACACGCTGAGCGTCCAACACATGCCGTGAGCAGTGTGTCAGAGCCTGTGTGAAATGTGTGAAAAGAGCTTTTCCTGTTTGTACTTCACTGTGAGAGTGAACTTATAAGGAAATGAGGGAGACTGACTGTGAGACTTCAAAATGAGCTGATCCCTCAATAAAAATGTAGAGGCTTTAATATGAGTTCGACTAGTTTTTAGATGATGCACCTAGAAAAACTGCTGGAACTGCTGCATTTTTCCATTACATTTAAGGAAACAAAGGATTTGATTAATATCTTTTTTTTTTAGCACCATGGCGGCATGGATATAAAAGATGTATTTGGTATTGAATACATCATAACAATATGAAAAACTGAATAAATAACACTGCTCTATGGGCCACAAGCTACACTGACAACTTGCTGAGTTGTGCTCCATTTCCCTTTATCCTCACTTAAGTCCAAAAACAAACCTTTTTGCACTTCTATTATTCAAGCAACTTGACTGATTATAAAAAACATCATATATTTCAGCATTTCATTTGAGAAAAAAGTATAAAAATCACCAAAGAATGCAAAAGAAATATCCTAAATGACACCATGTTTCTTTCTTTTCCTAAACTTTTCCATGGGGAAAATCACTCTTCATCAGAGTGCTCTGTGCACAAACTGGTGATATTGAAGTTAAATAATTAAATAGATAAATAGTTCATTGGTACCTGAGCGAGGACAACAAAGCACCTTTTAGAGGCGTTAACACCGAGGTGTGATGTTAGCCCCCTTTTCACTAGACACTCTGTGACGCTTCCAACTGTCCGCAGGGTCTTACAGAAGTCTCAGTAATTAGTGCAAATCAAGAAAGTCTCTATCTGTTGATGGGAGATCTACTCGTCCATGACGTCAAGAGCTCAGCAGTCCTTATGAGTCTTTGGTGGTCTGTAGGGCAACACCGGCACAGGTCTGAAATGGAAGCAGAAGTGTAAACACATGACAGTAAAGATAAAATGTTCCCAATCAATGACATAGCACATGCTTAATAGTGTGTCCTGATGTAAAATCTCCCCTTGCAGACACAATCTGATTAAACATGTTGGTCATATTTTTGTTACACTTCCAGCACGGCACAAACCTGAATTGATTTCCGTTGGATTCATGCAAAGGCTTCAGCAGAACAAGGTTAAATATAGAGAGATATTAAATGGAACAGTGTAATAAAACTATGACTTCACCATCACCATCTTATGCACAACCAAAATAACTGTGGTTTCATAAACCAGGAATCACTGTGAATGAGCCAACAAGGTTTTTTGCCTCTTAGTGTGGTTGGGCACAAGAGGCTGAAAAACCCTCGTACTACCACAATAATAATCAGACCAGCAGTCCTGGGTGGATGGATGAAACTATGAACATCCACCAAACACTCTGCACACAGCGTGTGAGTAAATGGGAGTTTAACGAGTCACGAGAGTCTCAAAAAGTGATGAAACTGTTGAGAAAATCTATTAGAGAGTGTCCCTCATGCTCACGATGGTCATTAATGAATAATTAATCGTTGGAAAAATAAGAACAGAGGACACTTCTTTTCTTCCTCAATATCATTACTTTCCGGCAGCATCCTCTGATGCCAAACATCATGCAACATTTTGCTTGGTTCTGTAAGTCTGAATAAAGCTGCAACAATGAACGACAACAAGCCGCCACTTTAACAGGCAGATGAAACCAGCAATGTTGCATATTTCCCGTCTGAGACATGTGATTCCCGTCACGTTGCACTGACCTGCTGGGTAGAGGGATGGTGGGTGGAGGCCTGGGCACAGTGGGGATAGGTATGGGGAGGGGTCCAGCGCCGGGGATGTGGACCCCCGCTGCTGTGGCACTGTGACCCAGCCGAGAGCTCCTCCCTAGTGGGTCTGCAGGAAGGGGTTTCTGGGGTGGACTGGGCTTCTCAAAGTCCTGAAGAAAAAGAAAAGTCACATTCAGTGCATCAGATCAATACAATTTGCTGGGTGACATTTATTTAAAAAAAAAAACACCACAAAGAACATTAATCTTATCTTTAGACACATGTATGGAAACCCGAATAAGATAGCACGTCACCTTCTATCTCCCTTTAAATATGAATTAGCTGTATCGAAGCTATGTGTAGACAGAAGCCGACACGTTTCACTAGAGGGCACTGTGTTATCAGCATCTTCTCTGAATTCCTACCACTAACATGAGAGGGATCTCAAACCGCCTCCTCCGCGTCACCACCATGTCTGTGGCAGTGCTGTGCGAGTGCAGAAGGTTATCTGAATGAGGTGCCATCATGTGTTACTAATCTACAGCGAGGAGGCGAGGCAGTGATAAACATCTGCTACCAGGAATCTGGCTACCGTCACGCACGCACACACAAAACCTCCCCCACACCCCCCCCCCACAAACACACACACCCACACACCACACCACACCACACCACACAGAGTAATACATGGACAAACTGAAAGTAATATGCATACACAGAAAAAAAAAAAAAAGTTTTCCACATCATGCATGGATAAGACTTATAGAGCTGGAAGGTTTAAAACATTCATGAATGTAGTCAAGATGCGACCAAGTTTGTCACATCAACATACAGAGTTATAAACCTGTGAGTGTTCATTGCTGCGTGACTCCGAGGACTCGATCACAGCCACGTTTGCACGAAGGTCATTTTTTAACAGAAATGCCTGAGGAACCAAATAACCTGTAGAAAGATTGGCTGCTATCGGGATTGTGCTTTTCACGTCTTCACTATATTGCCAAAAGTATGTAGACATATCCCTGAACGCACACGTTTATGGTCTGGAGCTGTCTTTCATGATGTGGGCCGATTGGTTTCAATTAAAGAAAATCTTCATGTCACAGCTACAATGATATAGTTTAGATAATAGTGTACTTCCAACTGTGTGGCAACAGTTTCAGCCTGACAACATCCCCTGTGCACAACACAAGGCCTATAAGGAAATGGTTGTCACTGTTGGATGTTGGAGAACTTGACTTGCCAGCACAGGGCCCAGACCAAAACCTGCACTTGGACCTCCACCTACTTTATGTCCACATACTTTTGGTCATGTAGTTAGTTAATGTGCTGTTGCATTATCTATTAATCTGCTGTTTATTTTTGTATTTCTTGTTTTGTCAGACACACAACCATGTGAACATGCACTTTAAATGTTCAATTGATCATCAAATTAGTTGCCTGTTACAAATTAAGCAATAACTTTGTACATAACATATTTCAACCATATCTGAAGTACCACAAGTCACACCATAGTATATTATATGCCGACTGGTAATCAGTAAGTTCTTCAAAAAACAATAGCAACAATTCATTCATGTCATAACATTTTTTTCTTTATACAGAAAAAGTTGTTTTTACAAACACAACATTTGCCCAAAGCTTTTCAGACGCAGTTAAAAACACAAGATACCCCACAGAGGTTGAAATGTTATGATGCTTTCATCAGACGGAGCTCCGTTAAAGGCACAGCAGGTTTGTTTCAGTTAGAATCTGCTTCACAGTCCCATGTGGATACTGCTTTTACTTGTTGAGAATTTGGGGGTGATAAAACGTACACAGTAAGATCCCATTAGAGGGATCTGTGTGAATATTAATTGAAACTAACAGAGACTTCCACACACAGTGCACCACACACTGTGATCTTCAAGTATACATTCACTCCTGACAAACCAGTCCTGTGGACCGTTCAGTTTCAGTGAAGAGCAACTCCTTCTCCAGAAAAACACACAAAATCAAGCTGTTTTTTTTTTTTTTTCTCCAAAGAGAGGAGAGGAGAAAACAAAGATGTAAATAGACAGATGCATCCACTCAAATGCAAGAATAATCCAGGACCCATGTGCATTCTAATGCCGCTCTTGGCAGAAAACCTCACACTGTAACTGGAGTCTTGGTGGTGTTCACATGTCTTAATTCAAAATGAAGGATTGCACTGTCCTCTGGCTTGAGAAAGATCTATGAGCCTTGGGCTTACAAGCACCTTTCAAAACCCTCCGGAGGAACTGAAAAATGCGCAGTCGTCTGGCCAAAAAACAAAGCTATTTTTCTGAGTTCCTGAAAAGATGACATTTTGGAAAGGCATGACTTTCACTCCTCAGCGGTACGATGCCGCAGTCTACTTTTGCAGCGCACCTGAACCAGGTTAGAGCTTATTTGCCTCACATTTATTTGACTCTAAAGATATCTGATATGTATTTTTCCTTCACCCGAACAAGATATTAACAGAGCGGGTCTGTTTGTGAAAATTCTCAGCTCCTACACTGGTTTCTTTTCATACACCATCTTATTGTAATAAATGCAGGATAGGCTTTATTCTCCTGGAAACCCCTCCACATTAATGGGGTGCTGTCGGCATGCAGGCAGAAGACAGCCTGTGGAAGAAGTCTTAAAATAAGACATATTGGCACAGACAGCAGGGGAGGTTGTGTCAAGTATTACAATAAGCTTGTAATACACTTTCTCTTTAAGGATTGATGTCCTCTACGTCCTTGCTGGACTGTCATTAAATCTCAACAGAATCCCCTCTTCTGTTTCTGACCTACATGCGGTGTCTCTTCTCGCTCCATCTGTTTCATTACAGCAAAATGAGCTAGTAGATATTAGCAGGTAGCAGGGTTTCATTGTTTTGGCAGGCCAGTGAGCAGCCTATTTATAAAGCAAACAGCGGCCTTTCAGCTAAAGTGCATCTTTAGTTGGCACACGTCCACAACAATCAAGGGTGATATGCTGGACACCACAAAACCATCCAAACCTGGGTATGATGCCAGTTGTTTCTGCTGAGCACATATTCAGATCATTTACTTAAGTAAAAGTACCAACACGGCGATGTACAAATACTCTATTACAAGTTTAAGTCCTGCAGTTAAAATCCTGCTGAAGTAAAAACACTACATAAAGATAGTTAATGCACACTAGTTTTAACTACTTCATATACAGTTAGGTAGCGTGTAGTCCAGCACCTCTCAACCTTGGGGTCCGGCCCTTTCAGTGGGTCACCAGATAAATCTGTTAGTTATGTTACAACAAACTGCAGTACATCTTCTTCTGATCTTTGCTTTCTGTAAAGTATTTAATAATTTTACCTTACTCACCTTCACATCACTTAGTTAAATGATAAATGATGTCTCACAGACATCTGAAATGTGACAAGAGGGCCCAACTACCTGAAACTTACTTTCATGTAGGGGCCGACCAGCCCAACCTTTTGGGAAACACTGGTTTAATCTTTAATAATGTATTGTATTTTATTAGCTCATATTTTTTAATGTAAAATATTTATCTGAAAATTAACTAGTAACTGTAACTGTTAAATTCACATAGTGGAGTGAAAAGTAGCTCACTATACTTGCTTCCAAAATGCAGCGGAGGAAGTAAGTATAAAGTAGCACAAAATGGCTATACTCAAGCAACTCACTTGGTAGACCTGTACTTAGTCACTTTCCACCACTGCTGCTCATCTAAATGATTAAGGCCTGAGGTATTAAAACGACATGCTCCCCTCTGAGTCCTTCATGATCTGGGATTATGTTTTGCTCTTTATCCAACAGAGACAAAGTGTCATATGACAAAGCTGATGTCTTTCTTTTCTTTCTTTTTTTTCTCTTTTCTTTTCTTTTTTAAAGCAGCACGAATCTACCAATTTCCCATGCACCCCCGCTGCAGCTCACAGAGAGCCGACATCCAGCACAACTCTCCTCGCTGTGCTGGTACACGAACGGATCAGGATTTGGATCCACCACCAGAGCAGACAGATGGATTTACTATCACCACTGCATCCAATACTGCTGGCTCAGCAGAAAGCAGCGCCTTACTCAGGAGCTGGGTCACAGGGAGGGAGGGAGACGGATTGAATTTTGCCGTCGATACGAGCAAGTGAGCCGCCCGCAGTGCAGAAGTGTAGCGAGTTGTGGTATCCAGCACTTTGCTACAACCTTTAAAAATGACCATACAGGTGGCTGTGCAAGTTTTAGACCATTAACTACAATTTGCATATATTCTACATTACTGCAGAAAATTTTTTAAAGAGTAGCTGGGTTTTCAGATTTATTTCCTTCCTTACATTCCATCTCACTGGTTTCTGTTAATTTCAGTATGGCTATGAAAATCATAGACATAAAATTAGTTTGACATAGGTAATCCATTAGAGTCAGCACTTCTTCCGCTTTATTTATTGTTAATGTTACATTATTGTCACGTGGTAATGCAGCGTGAGCATGGACTCATTTTAAAGCTCTTCATCTGTGTCCAAGGAAACTGTGACATCTCAGAAATGAGTAGATCCACTTGATTATTTTTCAACACCCATATTTGTTTGTTGTTTATCTCATAAGTCTGGTTTTCCAGCAACAAACCACCTTGACCTTGTAGTCGACAAAATTACAACTCATTTCCAAGATCATAAATGAACATTAAGTCTTACGCTTTAAGCCAAAATGGAGGAGAATTATTTCAAGGACTCAGAAAAATGGAAATTTGAACATCTACAATTCATTAATCACTGGGAAATCATCATCTGCTGAAGAGGATTATGTGATACGACTGAAAGTTCCAGAACAGTGAAACTGTTTTGGCAACAACATAGCCCATGATTGCAATGCTTCTTTAGCAGCTGACTCAAATGTCTGATGTCAGAGTGTCCTTAAATGCACCACAAAGGATTCATTAGGATCCAATGAGAGTGTAAAAGAAAAAAATGCAAACGAAATGTTCACTGTGACCTATTTCAAGAAAGTTTCAAGTCTCAGCAGGTTTGTTTTCATCCTCTATTAAAAATGAAATGAAATTGATATACTGCAGAAAATCAAAGCAGAAACCTACGGTATGGTTTAGAAAATGGTCAGGAGTAATGTACGTTAAAATATTAATGGGCTATGCCAGATATATGGTCCATTAAAGCTGTGGTCTAGAAAAATAAATTCCTATTTTAAACTATTAAAATACAATTTATGACCGAGGTAAAGGTACAAACTATGTAGAATTTCTGAATTATAGAGTCAACACACAGTGGAGATCAAAGTCATATAACTGTTGGGAAAAAAAAACAAAAAAAAAACATTCATCAACATTTTTGCAAACAAACCTGGTCTACTCTGTATGATGACTGCTGGCGAGGCAGACTGAGAAAAGGTGGCACTCGAGGTGGTGAGAGGGACGTGTGGGCAGGCAGGACCCTGTGGTGGGCTGGGAGAGGAGGCAGGGAAGGCTGGCCCACACTCAGAGACACCGGCATGGGCTGGCTGATGTGCAGGGGCTGGTAGAGGGGCAGTCTGCGCAGGCTGTGAGAGTGGAAGTTGTGCGGAGGCAGAAGAGGCTCCGCACTCAGGAGAGAAGGCTGGAAAAGAGGATGAGAGGAAGTTATCCTCAGTGATTCCATCAGTTATCCGTTATGGCAGTCATGTGGGTGTTTTTCATAGCAGACGGTTTGACTTGTCATAACAGGGAAGACATTAATGATGGCTGTGTTCTATTCAAGTGTCCCCGTTAGACAATAAACAGACAGTAAACTGAAGCAGTAAACTGCAGCAGCTAAATGAGTTCAGGCATCTTTAGTCTTATTATTTATCCCAGAGCTTTTTCTGTGACATTTCAAAATGTCTTTGTTTCTCTTCTCTTCCAGTCTCACTCTCCAAGTTAATCGTGTACCCCTAATATTTATTATTCATCAACAGAAAATTAATGGAAAACCACTTTTGTCAATAATCATTTGATTATTTGTCATATTTTTGAAGGCTGTGAAGGTTTTGGGAAATTACGACAGGCATTTTTCACTATTTTCTGACATCTTCTAGACTAAATGGTAAGATAGATTTATAAAATGATAAACACATTAAATGATCATAAAAATAGTAATTAGTTGCAGCCCTAGTCTTGTGTAACGATTACTGAAAAGCTTTAACCTGAGACACTGAGGTGTACTGCAGGCATAGAACGTAAAATTCCACTTCAGTCATAAACCCCTCCTTAGTGTGAAACAGCTGATGTCAGAGTCAGTCATAAAACTGAAAACAACATTATTATTAATATGATGTGCTGCAAATGTAAAAGCCAGAGTCTGACCACATGGCCTGACCAGCTGTTCCCCTCCACTCCAGAACAAACCAATAACACCTAAAATGGCCAGAAAGGATTTGGCTGCTGGACAAGACATGCACACACGCACACGCACACACACACACAATGTAGATGTATTCAGTGAAAGCTGCTGTGATGCTGACTGACATGTGGACACCAGGGAATGGCTGAAGTGGTCCTCCTCATGGACAGTACGCTACTAAAAATAAAAGATAAGATAGACTTCGACACTCAATTATGATGTTAGACATAACTTTTATACACAGCTGCTGCAGATACAGGCCAGTGCAAACAAAAGGTAGATCCACACACACACACTCATGCATATATGCATGTGTCTTCAGTTTGTCATACACATGCAAATGACAGGTAATCTCCCTTTGTGCTTATCATTTCCAGCAAACAAATCAAAACCAATTTTCTTCCTCTGCCTGAATCAATCAACTCTGCTCCCTCCTCATGAAAAAAATCATTTTATCATAAATATTAAAGAGGCTCAAAAAACAACATCCTGAGTCTCATTTAAAAGAGCAATCTCTCAATTAAAGTTTCTCTACCTCCTGTCAACAATAGCGGCGTAATTAATATTTCTTCGATAGAGATATAGTGATGCTGAATCAATCACCCGGCTTACCGTCATCTGGCTTAGTCAACAAGCCTGGGAGCGTGACAAGTCGAGCTAAAGTATTATTATAAAAGAAATCAAATCAAATGGCCTGTGACAGGAAAGAGCGCACACACACACACACACACACACACAGTAAATATACGGGTGTATATGAATGTACATGTACACGTATAAACAGTAAGAGACAGATTGTAGAGAGTGACTCACCTTATAAATACTGGCTCCAGAGGGTTTGGGTGGAGGTTTGCGTTGAGGCGTTGGCCTGTACATGGACTGAGTCCTGATGGGGCTGGTCGGCCTGCTGGCCTGCACAGATCTGAAGGACACAATAAAAGAATTTAAAGGCCCCGAAAAACTATTTCCTCAATCAGCTTATTATGAATGATGTGGTCCGACATGAACACAACATTTTCTGCCAAAAATTTTGGTTGTTTCACATGACGGATGTTGTGCGTTTGTGTCTTTGTTTCTTTCACTGGTTTGACATCATCTCCCTTGGAAAAAGGTGAAGTCACATATTTCTGTGCAGCACTCAGAGTTCAGCTACATTTCAGTTAAAATGTGATGCCACAGGTCACTGCCTGTGATCAAACCATAACAACATATTCCTGATGAAACACATCAGATGAGGTTTTGAGTCTTGTCTTCTAAACTGATCATAATCCAAAAAACAGGCCGTTCTCCCCGTTTGCAAATGTTACTCATAGACACAAGAGCTCTCACTGGTTACACTCGCAGTTCATTCAAATTTAATTAACTGGAAGTTTACCAGTTGAACACAATCTCCATTTTCCCCAGCATTACTGCCACATTACACAGTTCTCTCCAGGAAACTTCCTGGAAATTATTAGGAGATTATCAGAGAAATTATGGACATGTAAAATAAAGTGTTACCAGCTTTTAAAATTTTGGTGCTGTGGTGATGCTGCCATTTACATAAATTGCACTTTTGAGATAAGACACACATTTTGTTTGGCATAGAAATCATAAATTAGTTTACAGGGCAAAACAAATCTGTTTACTACACAAAAAAGCTTTTACTTTACTTGCCTAAAGTTATGTACAGCTACCCTGGTGCACCCAAGCTAGAAACTGATAAAAAGTATTTCTAAGCCGACTTGTACTTGTACTTGTACTTGTGTAAAAACAATACACTGGAGTGAAACTGTAAGGTGTTACTTCACATTAAAAAGTTACAGCTTTAAAATGACGCAACAATTTCAGCAGGAACAAGAACTTTACTTGTAATGTTAAACCAAAAATTGAAATTTCTCAAGGTTTTTTTTCTTTTTGCTAAAGTCTAAGCAGCCTCACAACATGCAAAGCTCAATGGTTCTCTGTTTTGTTTCGTGGAACGATGCGTCACCTGAGTTTCTCCAAGGTGCTTTTCTTATTGGTGAAGAGGAGTCGCAGCAGGGTCTTCCTCTTCACAAAGATGATCACGGTGGCTACCAGAAGGCTGACCAAGGTAACCAGGATTGCCACAGTAATGACCACGCTGTCGGCTGATGCCATATATGACAACACGCACATTAATACACACACACGCACATCTACAGCACAGAACGATGACAGGACATGATGCAAAGACTGTTACAGCTGGGCCACGGTCAGCGGCACAGTTTGAGAGTAACATTTCCCTGCTCATTTCTGTTCCTCACTTTAAGTACTCACTTTGAAATCCATTTTCTCTCACACAATCTGTAGTGTAATGTGTTTCTGGGCGGAAGAGGAGTTGTGATGTTCTAGGTAAGTTATTCTCCAGTCCCAACAACACATCAATCCACTCCTGACTGCACAATAAAGTGATGTACAAGGTGCAAGTGGTGCAGCTTTGCGTTACTGCTTATTTCTGAGATAGAGCTGTTGTCTCTCTGACTGGTTGACTGAGGATAGAAATGAAATCGCCCTCAATACCTGCAAGTCTCATCGGCCCGCTGTCGATGCTGCCACCGAAGCCGCCTTTCTCACAGAATGGAGGAGCCCAGTGCGCTTCACAGTGGCAGTTCTTCTTGTTGTTGCACACCTGCAAACAGGTACATTTTACAGTTTATTACATGCTACACTGGTATTTCTCTTGCTAAGCATCAAATGGTATCAAAAGGCATTTGTATTCCTTTCAGCTAAACTCCACATATAAATGATGCACTGTCCTCTACAAAGGCTCATTCCCGAAACTGAAATGGTTTATATTTTATAAATAAACTACTCTTATTTAGTTAGTCTAAGTGACTTTCAATATAAAAGGACACCGGCTGCGTGTGTGTGTGCGCACACAAGTGCAAGTGTGTGTCATAATAGATAAAACATGTGCATGGGAGAGAGTCCATCCTGTAAAAGCCTCAGGTTTCCAGCGCAGGAGTTTGATCCAGGAGGATTCCCTGGCGAATGTAACGCAGTCCAGCTGTCAGTTGGAAGGAGGAGGGAGGGCAGTTGTGCAGCTGTGGGGGATTTACATTTAGTACAGACGTACAGTCAAGTGCCTTCCCTGCCTCCAGGCCATGGACACTTCTTGACTGGGTTAAGAGGCACTTGGGGGCTCAGAGGGAGGTATGATTTGGGGGAGTTTTATGTGCATGACGGGAAAATTTTTGTTTCTATAACACAAAATGGACAAACACTGGCGCAAACAAAGCCTGTTAATTTCATCAGAGGGAACGGGAAACATTATCTTTCTCATCTCTTCAGTAGAATTTGAATAAGATACACAAAATGTGAAATGTGACGCGTAAGGTGGAAAATATTTCTTTAAAATATGGGCTACTAACAAAGAGAAAAAAACAGAAAAAAAAAAAGATTTAGTATATGTGAGGGCATCTCGTATATCAGCCACTGAATGTTATATTGGGTGCACACACTAGCTTCAGCTTCTCATACCGATACATTTGATGTATCAGAAAAGCTACAGCTGTAAACGTCTGCTTTTTAAACACCAAATGTAGATGCCAATGTATCTGATAAAGTGAAAGATAAGGTGAGTTACGTTGCAGGCAAACAATGTTCTTTAAACTCCTGCAGTACATTTAGTAAATTCCTCTTTTCCAGTCAGGTCTTGTACTGTGCGAGGTGTTTGAGAAAATGTCAGACAAATTGATTTGGCAGATATTTGTGCAGAAGAGAAGATGCAGCTCAGGTTCACCCTCTTAGTGGCATACAATTTCTTTTTTTTTTTATATGATTATTTTTATCTACTGGCAGCTACAAATTTTTTAGTCAGTTGTCTTTATTTATTTATTTTTTATTGTAGGGCTAATTTGGTTCAGGGGTGTTTGGTCAGTCGCAGGTTAATAAGAGCAAGTTTGAGGAATATACAGTTCTGGATGTTCAGCTTTGATTTCTCATCGTATATCATCTCTACACCATGAATAGCTATAATTGACAGTGAAGATCAGAGGTTACTGCAAACTAATGTAGCCCCTGGTGAGTGTTTGATTCACAGAACTAAACAACAAAGTAAATAAAACATAAAAGCACCGCCTGAATTATTGATAAGAGAGAAAGGTGAACATTTCTTGGCAGGAAGTGTTACTTTTAAACTGCAATAGAACTACGGCTGTGGGCTCCCCCCCTGCACTGCTGCACCGTATCTCCTCTCTCTGTACAGTCAAAAGATGATGGACAACAAAGTAGACCCTAAATGATGCTGTTAAATGGGATTGATTTAACCTCAGTTGGACAACGAAGATTGATCGCACGGCATAAGAGCAGCTGCCATAACTCACAGGCTGTACTGTAAATATGCGGTTGCTCTGCTGTTGTGTTCAATTATAGGACAGACAGACAGTCTTAATTTTTTTTCTCAGCTGGTAAAAAAGTAAATAGATAAATACAGAATCCTCACAGGCTTGTAACACTGGCTTTGGTGCATAATCTAACACTAAATATTGAGCTAATATGTACTTTGCACTCACCCCACGTCCATTGCATTTCCCAGAGCACTCATGCACACCAAAGACAGTGACATTCTGGCACTGCCGGTTCAGGCACACCTATGAGAGGAAGAGCATCGTTGATGAACTAAAGATAGACACAAAAATGAAGAGTAAACAAGAATAAATGTGCACACGTTTATGGCCTGTACCATAAAGTAGCATGTGCATGATTGATGCCTGCTGCATGTTCTCTCCTCAAATTAAAGAGTACAGTTGCAATTTCCCCATCTAAAACTTTCAATTTTCAATTAAATTTTATTTGTATCACAAGGCACTTCACAGGGTAAGTTCAAGGCCTTCCTTACAATATTATAGATAGAAACCCAACAGTTCCCACAATGAGCAAGCACTTGGCAACAGTGGAGAGGAAAAACTCCCTTTTACCAGGAAGAAACTTCCAACTTCCATGATTTAGGGTTGGCGGCCGTCAATTTGGTTGAGTGGAGAGAAATGAGTGAGAGAGGGAGGAAAGGGAGGAATTAAATTTTAATTTAATTTAAAACTAGTCTGTAACTACTACATAAGCCACTCAGGTGGCTGCACCTCACATTTCACAACCCTTAATGCAGTTCAGGAGGTGAAGATGCAAAAGGCACAATACACTGCGTGTCCTCTAGAACAAAGACAAACATCAGACTGGAAAAAGCCAGCTGTTGCTTTCATGTAGAAAATAAGGCCTGCATTAGGCAAAGCAGTTTGGAGCTCTCATCTTCCTCAAACTGCCACTATTGTGTGGGCTGCCAACTTAATGCCCCGATTGGCATGGAAAACAGAAAAACCTTTTTGAGAATAACAAAAGCCCATGACAAAGACCCACCTTCAGGCCATCAACATTTCCAGATAATGTGTGGCTCTAACTCATAATTTGGGAGACTGTAGCCAGGAGACAAGCTGACATGGCAGACAGCCATTTTGCACACAAAGCTCAAAGGCCTTTTAAGTACTGAGGGCAAGTCCTGTGAGGGGACTGAAAGAGCTTGTGGGGACTTGTAGGGACTGTGAAACGCCACCGTTTCTGTTCCTAATATGTTCAATTTATTGTTAAATTATTTATTTCTATCATGGAGAACCAAAAGGACTAGAATTTGAGGGAATCCTCAGACACAGGTTTAACTCAACAACATCATCATCTCATATGTTTTCATAAGGAGAGCATAGAGGCCAGAGCGAACAGCAACTTCTGCATTAGTGATGTTCTGGGCAGGGAAGCTAACATCCAAATGTGTCCAGGTGCTATAGAGTTGTTTTGAAAATATTTACCTACTTACTGATATAAAGCAGCAGAGGTGGTTAGTCGAACTGCCCATATGTGCCCCATGTCATCTGCTCTCACAACCAGTTTGCCATTAATGTAAGACTGAGTACAGGCCTTGTAACCTCACCCGGAGAGACAGTTAAGGAGGGAAGTGCTCCAGAAACCAAAAACGAGAAGCCTCTTGCTTTTGGCAGGAAGAGACCCTGATGTCACTGTTGCTGTGTGAGAGGTTTTGAGGTAGGCACATAAGAGGAGAAAAGTTGAGAGGGACACCAAATAAAATGACTGGTTGCCATAAGGGTCTTTCCAGCCCTGAGCGTGATGTGTAGTGCACATCTGGATCACTGGATTCACTCAGGAGTTAATTTCATTAGTGCTTTTCTTTAGGAAGGGCTGCCCCTCTGTGTCTGCCTTGGCTCCGTGCTGCAGTTCTATCTGCCAGCACCCAGAGGAGCACTACTCTAGGCACATGTAGTTGTCAGTGTTTTGGGGTCTCCAGAGAACAAATAATATAGCTGCAAGGAAATAAACAACAAACTAAGAGCTACTTGAAAATCTATAGAAATAACATTAACATTGAACAATCAGAAAATAGCAAAGGAAACCTCAGGATGACAGAGGCTCATACATTTCTGGTGCATATAATGTGATTAAATGGTGTATGTTGAATCGTGATATTGAGTCATGAGCATTGTCTATCCTACTCAAGATAGAATTAAATATAACCCCATGATCCGTCTCTTTGCTATTAAATGATATACAGATCCCTCACCATGCCGTCTCCACACTTTGTACCAGCCAGAACCAGTCCAGGGTCGGGCATGTCGTCACCAAGGTAAACGTGTGTTCCTCGACAGAGAATACGCCCTCCTTCTTGTAGCGGGATGTTAGTTTCGATGGAAACAGCATTTGTTCCGATCACTGGCCGGTTGGCTCCTCCCTGGCACTGAATTTTACCACACTTTGCATCCCTGCATGCAACACACACACGGAAACACCCATATGTGCACACAGTGAGATTGAAAAAGATAATTAAAAAAGCCTCAAACATAAAGGCCTGTCAATGACAGACAAAGATAAGTAACTGTAGAGAAAGATGAAAGACCGCTGCAGAGAGCTGCAGCACTGCAGTCCTCCGGTCATTAAAGCAATTACATCAATTAACAAAGGGCTTGATTACAGAATTCACCCAAAGGGAGATCTTTAGAACAATTAGCTGACAAGAATAGCACGAAATGATTCATGAATACTTTCTCAGACCGTAATTAGCTACTATCATACTTAAATTACATTTTTCACCCGTGTAAACTTTTGTTTGAAGACCACATGTCAGATTCTACAACAGAATGATGATTGCTAATGACACCACTTAAGCTAATCAGTTGTGTTTTGCACAGACGTTTCTCTGTACCTCTGCTGCGCCAGTGCAGCTGCGGAGTCTTACCTCGCATCACATTTGGCAAAGGAGCCTTTGGAGTCCTTCCCACAGTTCCCGTAAGGATCCCCTGCAGAGTTGACTCGCTCAAAGCAGATCCCAGGGGCGGGCTTGGCTCCTGCATGCAAACACAACCAAGGAAAATACAAAATCCAATCATCAATATGAAGTGAGAGATATATCAACTGAAAGAGAGGATTATTTACACAACTTATTAGAGGATGTTGATTTACCAGGTCCCCACAGGGTGATGCATTGTTGCTCATGAGTCTGGCAGATGCCGTTGTAGCAGTAGCCTTCAACATTGTGGCAGGCGTGCCCATCATGCAGATAAACGTTGGCTGGGCAGTGAGGGTTGGCACCAGTACAAAACTCTGGCAGGTCACAGGAGTTACTGGTCTCTCGACACAGGGTGCCAGCCGGCTTGAGCTGTAAACACATATAGTACAGTACAGTTAAGCAAACTGTTAAAATGTGAAGAGGCTTGAGAAGATTTATAGACTGATCTGACATCAGAAGCTCACGTACAGTATATTGAGGTTATTTTCTTTCGTTTCTTTGTGCAAAACGAAGAAGACAACACACATTTAACACAGTATTTTTCTGCGTACTTAACCTTTTGGTGGTCTGGCCTTTAATTTATATGAAGGCTGTCCTTCCACACTTGCATTGTGCCGTAAATGTTACAGACGTGTCCGACCCCGTAAGTAATTGCACGGTACTGATGTCTCGTACCACAAGGTCAAAGATTCTTTTGTGTAAAGAAAAGGAATCAAAGTCTTGCATTGAAACGGAGGTCTGAGCAGAAATATTTTTAAGGACACAATGAGCAGACTTATGCATTTAATCATCTTCAACAAATTTTAGAAGAAAGGACTCGCATCCGAGAAAGAAAAAGGTTTCCACGTCAAAGCAAAAACTACTAGTAAGTAGCTAGAAGCAAACTTTATGCAATCCAACTTGAGAACTTTCCTTCAATTGAAACCTGTCTATTGAGATAACATATACAAAGTTGGAATGAACTGACCTGAGATATTAAATTATATACGAAGACACACTATTGTGAGACTCTTAATAATCTACCAGAGAGAATTAAGAGAGTTTCAGAAAGTTTCAGGCTTTGTACTCGAGTTTAGAAATGAAAAACGTCCATCTCTGCAGAGTAAAGCTTTGAAAATACAATTTCATAATAAAGTTTCCAAAGTTTCTTTAAGCTATTGGAAAGGTATATGTGCATTTAAATTGGGAAAGATTGGGAGATCCAAGGCGGAAGGATAATACATGCGACAGACCCAAGATTGCATGAGAAGTCTTACCCTGCAGTCTTCACAGCACTGTCCATGGGCGCACACGGCATCTCCCTTGAGGGTGCATGTGGTGGCGTTGCAGCATGGGTTCATGCATTCCTGAGGATGAGGGAGAGAAAACAAAATAGTTAACAACATGTGGACCTCATCACCGCTCTGTCAGTTTGCTCTTGTCAGATCAAGACTTCCAGGTCAGGGGAGCACACTTCCTGTCCGGGGAGTCCCATCTTACTTACCCTGACCTGAAAACCATTAGATGGAGACTGTATTAACTGAAACTCATGTGATCTGGATTTGGGGAATTCTGTAGACCTGTAGAGTTTAGTACTCTGACCCAAGTGGGGTCAAAAAAGTGAGAGCTGTGAGGCAGAGGAGAAAACGATAGGAATCAGGTGTAGCATTTGGAAGGGTCTGTTTTAAGAGCTTCAACTGAGATTTGATGGGGAAAGATGTGTCCGAGTTGACTATTAGGGTGCCACGGACAGGAGCGGGAGTGGGTACTGAAAGCCCTTAAGAGGAGAGGATTGTAGCCACTTTGCCACAATGACAAGGATCAGCTGGCAGCTGGCAGAAAACGCCAAGAGGAGAGGAGGATACACAAGGAGAAGTTGAAATGGGAATAATGTTATAAAAGACTTCAGGGAGGTGTTGAGATGTTTATCCTTTATTGGATGCCAAAACACATCAGCTTTGTTTTCCAAGTGGTGTCATGCATTGCACTATCACGCAGAAAATAACTCCCACTATCATTTATCTTCCGTCAACGTGGCTGTTTTACGTGTGGGGCTCTTAGGTTATGGCAAGATGTGCTGAAGGTTGGGAACTGGAGGCAGCTGGATTGGTGGATGTCTGACTTTCAGTTGATGTGAGGTTTTATAGGAGGCTGGCTGTTTACCTCTTGGCCCTGACGTAAGCGTATTGTTTGGAGAGGAGAGAGAAGGTTGCTTTCATCTCTCAGTCTAAGTGAGCCGGCAGATCAAACAAACGGACCCTCTGTGGCGACATTATGGAGGTTATGCAGGGGCAAGCTGGCAAAAATACTACCTAGATCTGCCTCTAAATTATGGAGTCCATAGTCATAACAGCACCTTACTAAATAATAAAAACCTATTGTTGAGTCAGTCAGGATTAAAGGGTCCATTCACCAAAATTAAAAAAAAGTTATTGCACTCAAATAGCAATATCACTTTGGATCTGGTTCCCAGTTGGTAATAAACTGGATTTTGTTAAGCCCCAATGCTAACGAACCTCTTATCAAACCTTTTCTCTCTTTGTTCATTAGGATAATGCTGGCAGGCTCAGTTAAGCCGGTGTTGAACACAAATTTTACTGGTTGAAATGACAAACAGCATCCGTGGCAGGGTCATCATCAGCTGTAGCTAATGAACGTTCATTCGGTAACGGCTAAAATTTAATCTTTCCCGCTGTCTGATGAATGTGCTGATGGGAAGCTGGGGAATTTACACATCAAAGATCATGTGTGAGAGGAAAGGAAACATCAGCCTCTAACACAGCTCTACAACTGTGAGTAGACTGTGTGTTTTGGAATTCAACTCTCCACCATTTCTCTAAAGAAATCAAATCACGTCAGTTTCAGAGAAAATCTGCTCATTACTTTTACACTTATATCAACAATTTAAGCTTATCAATGTAACAGCTCTGCACCAGGGCCTCTGCTATTCAAAGTAAGTAGCTCATGAATAATAAGGCATTAAAGTCAGTAAGCTACAACAGTTTCAATCTGTCAGATATATATTTAATTAACCATTCATATCTTGTGCTGATCTCATTTTCAGGTTAAAGCTACAGGTTGTGAATATCAATTAAGCTGCCACTAAGACCTATAGTGTTTCTGCCTTCTCAGCCGACAAAAGGTAAATACTGATCTGAATCTTTGAGTTCTAGTTATCTATAACTTTAGTGAACTACAAATATTCAAAGCTAAATCATAACGTATAATTATAGCAGAAGCAAGAAGATCAAATGGGGCAAAATGTGTCTGACAGAGCTGAAACAATAAGTCAATTAATGTAGAACATATGATAACAATCAGCATGATGTATTGTTTGAGTCATTGTTGTTCAAGCAAAAATGCCTCATTTTAAGTGATGATCTAACTTCTCAGATGACAGGAATTGCTGCTTTTCTTTGTTTAGATATTGAACGTTTATGGGTTTTCGATGTTGGTTGGGAGGTGCATTTTTCACTTTTTCCCCACATAATGCTCTCCAGGAACTCCATCACTCATGAGAGATTTACGATATATTCAACAACAAATCTCCTTTGGTTTTAGGATCCTTGAGACACACAGCTGCCTTAGCTACAGCTGAGTGATACCTGCTCCCCACATGTGATTCTCACTTCACTTTCTGAGGCACCCTGCAGTGTGCGTGTGTGTGTGTGTGTGTGTGTGTGTGCAAGAGAAACAAAGCTTGTGTTTCGTGAGTGGATGCATGCATCTGAGCGTGCCTGGTTGTTTGGGTGGCACGGCCAAAGAAAACTTATTTCAGCTTTCGACCCGATTACACTTTTCTTTGTTTCCTTTGTCACAAAGTTGGACAGTGCTTTGATTAATGGGCCTTCAATGAGGATATGACATCACCGTGGCAGACTGTCAGAACGCTGTTCAGCACATGTGGAAGACCGATAGAAGGTGTGACGTAAAAAAAAAAAAAAAAGAAAAAAAGAAAGGTACTTATATTAGGTCTCTCAGGTGGTTTGCTGAGCTTTTAGACTTTTTTTGTACAGCAGGTCTCGGTGCTTTTAAGCCGCAATAACAACATCAGTGTCAAGAGAAAGTTTAACTTAAAGTTTGTTGTGGTTTATGTAGGGTGGGGAGGTTCTGAGTGACCTGTTGGCACTTTCAGTGCTTGGAATCATATCATCTACACTTCACAGACTCTTGACTCGAAATTTATTTTCTCAACATTTGTTTGTGTTTTAACTTTTGTTTATCCAGCTAAAACATTTTCTTTTATACGCACTGTTTCCAACCACGGTGTTGGAGACTGATCCACTCCACAGGAGCAGTTGAGGATGAAGGTGTTTGCTCTCAACTTTACCTCTGCCTCCCCGCAGTCGCACTCCTCTCCCTCCTCCACGTAGCCATTGCCGCACTTCTGTCCACCGTAGAGCACCTTGACCTCAGGCATGTTGTACAAACACATGCCTACGCCTTTCTCCAGACTGGCAGCGAGGTCCTTCTTACTACATGTGCTGAACACTGTTGGGAATGGATACCTATGGGATGAATGGAAGAACAAGGTTGACTGAAATTAAGGCACGAGGAGACATGATATTAAAAAAATCAAACAGATTTGCCCGAGACGCAGAAAAAAAAAAATCCTGCTTCGTGTGTGGGTTTTAACTGTTCCGAAACCAAAATGATCTCAAGAAAAGTGGCCTCAATCATCCTGCTGAAGCAGAATGCAGACAGAGCTTGCACTGAAACCTTTCTTCAATCTGCTCATTCAAGAGGCCTTTTCACACAAATTTAATGGTCTACTGACACCGTATGAGCTCCAGTTCAAGAGATTTTCAATCCTACTCAATACATAAACGGGCCATCGAATGTCCAGAGAAACATTTTCTCTGGCAGCCACATTTTCAAGAGGCATATCCTGGCTGGAGCAGGACAATTTAAGGAACTGGCCGGAGGGAAGGGAATGAGGAGGTGTATGTTTGATGTGGATGACTTGTGTGTGTGAGCATGTGTGTACATGAAACCCTGATAAAATAGCAAGCCCCAAACCACATAATTTCTACTGCATTAATTTCACTCCCTGGTATCACTTACCTGAAGTGCTGACTAATGTCTAATTTAGTGAGGAAAGAAATTGGATTTCGTATTGAAAAAGAGAAAATGTTACAGATGAAACTGTGCGATGTGCCAATAACAGCTGTGAAGCCCGAGGGAATTGTCGTCCTGCTCGAGTGAGTTTCAGTGAGTCTGAGAACCAAGGACCAGAAATAAATAGAAAGACAGAGAGGGAAAGAGACATGAAGAGTGAAAAACAAAAATAATATGGAGACATGTAGACAGGAAGGCGAAAGAAAACAGGATTATACACAGTGATGACAGAAACAAGACATGAGGTATGGACAAAGGGACGGACAACCTTTTATGGAGAGAAAAAGAAAGGAAGAAAATCATGGCACGTGCAGAAAAAATGACAGAAATCAAGCTGTTTAACCAGGGGCAGGGCGAGAGGGGTGGCGCCAAAATGACCCCATAGAGACGCCAAAGGACCACAAAATAGCACAAAACGACAAACAGATGCAAAACGTCCACAGTCAAAAAACGACCACAGAGAAGAAAGACCAAAAGGGACGCAAAATGACAACAAAGAGACACAAAACAACTACAAAGAGACGCAAAAATGACAACAGAGACCAAAACCAACAACGAGGAGATGCAAAATGACTTCAAAGAGACAAAAAAAACGACAAAAAAAAAAAAAAAAAAAAAAAAAAAAAAAAAAAAAAAAAAAAAAAAGATTACAAAGAGCCGTAAAATGACCACAAAGAGACTGTAAAGGGAGGAACACGACCACACAGACAAATGGCAGAAATCTTGCTGCTCAACCAGCGGCAGGTCCGGAAAGATGGCACAGAGGAGGGTTGGGGGGTCTTTTACATGTCTGTGTTCAGGGGGCCCATTGTCTCATATAGGTTATTTACTTGGCATTCATTTATTACGCTGAATAAACAACAGTAAGTATTAATAACGCGTTGGCTTCGTGCATTTTAGTCGTCATTTTACAAAATATGAAACCCCTGTTTAGGTGTGCTGCAGTCTGGTCACTCCACTTCAAACATTTCTATACCCACCTCAGTGCTTCACCTCCTGTAAGACCCATGTCCTGCTTCAACCTCTCTAAACACCTTGGCAGCATGAAACACAAGCCACAGGACACACATTCCTAAAACACAGTGGATGACAGCAACATAACCAAGGCTCGACCCCGTGCTCCGTGCCAGCTAACAAACAAAAACAGAATCACAGAGGGACTGACACAGAAAAGCAGGCTTTGGGGCGTAAAATGAGTATCTCACACAGTCATGGTGGGACATAGTCTAGCTTCAAAAAGAGGATGTGGAGGATATAGGGTAACAAGGAGCAATGGCTAGCAGAGAGGATTGGCAGACGTGGTATAGAGAGAAGCAGCTGGCATCGGAAGCTTGAAAAGCTTGACTTCAGACAGAAACATGTCATACACGTACTTATGCAGCGATAGACTGACTGGGGTCTTCAAACGCAACGGGGCGTGGAGACTGTCTGCAAAGCTTGCGGCTTGACAGGGCAGATTTGTGAAAATTCAACATTACACAGAATATGTTTGTGGAGCCTGGCGATGGACAGAGGTCGGGTGGGGGGGGGTATGTGATGCTTTGCCTTTGCCTAAGGGGGATTTGGCTGCTGCAACTGCATGGATATTTCACTGCTGTTAGTTGACTATAGTGAAGCTCCTCCTGAGGGGACTGGAGATAACGGTGGAGGCATTCAATGGGAAGGAAATCTGTTTTTTGTTTTTTCCAAAAGAACACAGATTTCCCAAGAACATAGAACACAGAAAAACATCCTCTTCTAACAGGCACCCTTGGGTGAAACAGCTATGTCCACTTCACTCAGACTGTCCACCTTTGAGTGTCGGCTGCTTTCATCTCTCACTGACCAAAAGGCAATCGACCTGTCTCTGTCCCCCCTTGTCTGCCCCCATAATCCACTTGTTAGAGTCTTTTTAGTCACAAAAAGAGCTTTGCTGCCATGTGCACGGGGACCCTGCACCAAATCAAGGATAGACAGACTATGCAGATCAGACCACGACACGGAGCAGACCGACCCCCTTGTAAATAACATGGTCTGCCACTGATAACAGAAGACAGACATGTTTCAGGATCAACATGAGTGGATGGAATGTGCACAAGGAGTAAACAGAGTCTGTTCTCAATAAACTGGCATTAATATTAAACGTTGGGACGGTTGTCAGTTGGAGATTTCTGAGGGAAAATCAGGTTTCTATGGACCAAATTGGATCCACATGGAAAGTATTACAAACATCCAGTGGATACATGTAGGCTATGCTAAAATCAACATGAATTCAGGTCTGAGCTCCAGCAGTATGAATACAGCCACAGCTTTGTTTGAGGCGGACGCAGAAGAGAGCATATGTTTTGAGGAGTTAGCTCCTCTTTGCAGACCATTGACTGATTTATCTACTAAAACACTGTCTGCAAAAACACATTTAATCATCAGGGGCTAACCTGTCCAAGCATCTGTCCACTACGACTACTATAACATCTATCGTGCTACCCTCCCATTGGTTTCATGATATAAAACTAGGGCTAACCTAGTTTGCATTTGGTTTATTTTCGTTTCTTTACTGCTTAGTTTCAGTTATTGTTTTTGTTGCAACAGTAACATTCGCATAATTTATTCTGTAGCTTAATATTGTAGAGTTTTGGTATATTGTAAATGCAATCTGGATAATTATCATTAGTCACACCTGTGAGTTCAGGGGATTGTTTTTTGGTCTGTGGGCTTGAGTCAGCCCCTCTCTTGAGCCATCTAATGTGCTGCTTCCATCAAGTCTGCTTGCCATCTGTAAGTTGTGTGCTTTGACTCAACTGTATCAACTAAAAATGTTCAGATAAAAATAAAAAAAGCTCTGTAAACCTGTTGGGGCTGATGTTGCTCTTCATTTCACCACTCTACACACTCTGAACTGCTGGTTGTCATCTTGCAAAAGTCTTATTCCACCAAAGACCTTACAGATGTATACCAGTAAATGTCAGCCAAAGTTGACCCACATAAAGAGAAACTAAGCCATTATGGACTGAATTGAATTGAAATGACATTTTAAGCCAATTAAATACAATCTGTACAAGTAAGTAATTAAGATGTGCTCTGTGATTCATATGCTTGAAAATATTTAAATTATTTTTTGGGGTGTTTTATGCTTTTATTGGACAGTGACAGTGGAGACAGGAAATAAAGGGAGAGGGAGCAGGGGAATGACATGCAGCAAACGGTCCGGCTGACCATGAGTCGAACTGGGGACTTGCTGCTAACCACTGAACTGATGTCCAGTGTGGCCAGTGATCATGTAAGAACAGGGCTTTGATAATCGCGCTGCGCCACTAAATTGTAGCCGACAACCCTCCAGGTTACAGGTGCCTGGTCACACTGTATCTGTTCCCCGCTGTCCAGGGACGCTGCAAGAATATCTTACTTCTTCGTCACCAACTGCCCGGTGCAGTTCTTAATGACAATGAGCAGATACACGTGTACTGTCCAGACATGGACTAACATAAATAAACGACTCTGAGTTGTGGCGGTGGTTTCCGAGTGTTTTTGTGCCATCAGCTGAATGTCAGGACGGAAATCGATTTATTCAACAGGAAAAGACAGCAGTAAATTACTGTTCACTTATTATGCAATGCAAGATGCTGACTGCAGAAATATGCATCAGTGCAATGAGCATTGCAACTGGACAGTGGTTTGTTGGTGAACTGTAACCTTGAAATGGTTTCTCTCTAACATTAAATATCCATGACTAAATAAGTGAAAATTAGAGATAAAGAAAAAATTATTATTACATTTAAACAGTTATTATCTGTTAAAAGTTTAATGCTAACAGAAGCTAACTTACCTCATCGAGACGGTGTGGGTGTCGTTTGATCAGATTTGAGTCCCACCCACCAAAATCCAGTAGAACCAGAAGAACTCAATGACAATAAATGTGAAATCATAACTGTTCAAACATTGGCTGAAAATTGTGTCTTCATGTAGGACCTCATTACTCAGAGTAAGAAGGTGACTGAAAAATGTTTTCAGGGCCTATAATTATTTTTTCCAACTGAAGCGCGGATGCAGTTAAATATTAGTGTACCTTCTTTCTAACCACAGCTACATTTCAAGAAGTGCAGTGTTAGCAGGCAATTCAGACATTTGTAAGAAATGAAAAGGATTTAAGTCAACAACCATGCTCACAGGACCAGGAGTTTTAAAAAAAACCTATAAAAAAGACACCCCATAAATCAGCATTAAATAATGTAGGAACAGCTCCAATGTGCAGATCTCAGTCTGCAACAGACCCACATCGAGGGTGTGTATTATCACAGCTGAGACCACACGCCTGCTCTGCTGTCCAGGAAATTAGTCGAGCAGCGAGTGTAGGTTTCCCTGGATAATATTAGCTTAAAGCCCTGCACCCTCTCCAGGTGTAGTTAGCTGGGGT